TAATCTAGGTGTTGCTTGCTTGGTCTGCCCTCTTGTTCATGGATTACAGAACTGGAAACATGGGGATTTCTGCCCTTGTTATTGTAAATTCCTGCCATAGGGACTGGAGTTAAGCAAGCTCCAGAATGCAGGTAGGTGAGCACATCCTCACCACCTGGAGGAACTGTGGAGGTATGCCTCCCACAGGGATATGACTACTCAAAGAACTGTTAGAAGCATTTCCCTGGAGCTGTCCTGTAAGACTGATTATACCACTCCAAAGGCTACAAGTTCAAGGAAGCAGAACTCCTTCCTGGACACTGCAGCTGCTAATGCGGAGGGACCCAGTGTTGCCACATCCTAATCCACTATACCCATTGCTGGTTCAAAGATCATGTTGGTTAACACTATAAAATGTTTTGAGGTCTACCTTGTCTAAGAATTTCCCATGGTTTTTTCTTCCTCTTTAATTGCTGTTTGGTTTCTGTCCCTTCTTTTACCTCCAAGCTTCTTAAGAGAGCAGTCTTGACACTGTATTAGTCAGTCAGTCATTTGGTTATGGTTTGGCCTTTACCTTTGTGAGTCTCATGAAACTGTCCTTGCTCATAGAAGAGTCAGCAAACCAGATGGTTGTGTTGGTCTCCTTCCTACTTGATTTGTTCTGTGGCCACTCTCTAATTCTGGACACTCCCTTTCCTTCCCTAACTTCTAAGGTTCTGTCTCTTGCTTTTCTCTTCCTTGCATCTCTGGCCATCTTTCTCAGTCTCCTTTGCAAGCACTTCCTCTTCCTTTGCCCACTTGAAATGCTGCCCTTCTCTAGGGCTCTGGGTTTGTGGCTGAACACACTCTCTGTGAGTGAGGGCACTTGCTTCCAAGTTTCAACAATCGTATATGTGCTTGTGACCTCAAATTGCCATGTCTTGAGCAGCGGCACCTGCACATGTGCCCTGGGTTCCTGCTGCCTGCGGCTGCATCTGCAGAGGCATCACTGGTCTGAGCTGCTGGAGCAGTCCCCTAAGGGTTTTCTACCACCCGTGTCTCCCTACCCCAGCTGGAGCGAGCAGAGGTGGAACAGTCATCCACATGGGGCCCTCCTCTTTCCCTCCACCACACTGTCTCTCTTCTCTCAAAAGCAAATCTAAATTAATAATCTAGAGTTTAATTATCTAAAGCCAGATGGCATGGCATTTTAATTTAAACCAAATAACTCAAATATTTACTTTGCTTTAAGAACATAAAGTGCCAATTACTGCAGCATATTTGCATTTATGTAATACAACTATACCATCAACACTATTTTATTGTTTTAGAAGTTAGGGAAATATAAGGAGGGTACTTTTTAATGAATAAAAGGAGACTTTGTAGTTCTGTCTTTTTGATTTTTCAAATAGTCTTGTGCCATCGTGAAACCTCTTAAATACTTCTATTATAGCTCTTTTCAAAGTGTAATGCAACTTTTTTTTTAATTGATGTCTTAATCTGGGTTCTGTAACAAAAATACAATGCCTTGGGTGGCTTAAACAACAAACAATTATTTCTCACAGTTCTGGCGGCTGGGAAATCCAAGGTCAACGCACCAGCAGATCTGTGGCCATATTCTCTCCGTGTCTTTGCATGGTAGAAGGGCAAGGGTGCTCTTTGGGGTCTCTTTTATAAGGACCCTTATCCCATTCATGAGGGCTCCATCCTTATGACTTAGCTGCCTCCCAAAGGCCCTACCTCCAAATATCATCACACTGGGGATTAGGTTTTGACATATGAATTTTGAGGGGACACAAACATTCGGTCTATGGTGATGGGTACAAGATGGTGCTAATAGCACCCACCTCATAGGGTTGCTGTAAGTATGAAGTGAGTTGCATGTAACAGAGTAGTGCCTAGCACACAGTCAGTGCTATGTATGTATTTGCATCTATTATTATTACTGTTCTATTTGCATCTGTTATTATTACTGTTCTCCTACTTGCTTTCAGGCTCCTTATGAACATAGAGAAAATACTTCTTGTTATTCTGTGTGACACCAAGTTATAGTCCTTGCTATATAATAAAGGCTCAGCAAATGTTTTAAGGAATGTTGAATTGTGCTTGAACACTGTCCATGTTGCCTTAGAAAACATATCTGTTGATAAAGGGAATCAATCCTGTAATTGTTGACCTCAAGGTCTATCTTTCCTATTTTACTGTTTATTACAATGGTAAAAAGCCCAACGATTTTCAGTATTGGGACTGAAAAATATATTTCTGACCATTACAACAGAGGCATGACTTAGCGGTGTAGCTGTATTTCTTAGAAGTTGTAAAAATTTATGTTTTCAAGTCAAATTATGTTTACTTTTTAATTTTTCTCAGTTTTAATACTGTTATTTACTTTGTAAGCAACCTTGATTTCTTTTTCCCCCCAAATTATATTTAAATGCACCAACAGAATTACCTATTTCAAAGAAATCTGGTTGTAGACTGAATCTTTTATAGACTGAAGAATCCTATAGTAAAGTGAGTATTAACACTTAAGTATATCATTTTCAGGAATTCAAATTTTTATTTTTATTTTATTTCCTTATAGTGAAGAACAGGTGCGGTTTTCCTACATAGTACTTGGTAGGCAGTAGGCTTTGGAATGTAAGAGGTAAAACCATCCTCTTGCCTCCTCTTTGCTGAGATGTTTGTTTGTAAAATATGGTAGGGCTGGAAAGTACCTTCAGTTCCTGTCTGATCTAGATTTCTTTGAAGTGTGTGTATTTAATTAGAAAACCAATTTGTGTCATCTTAAATATTTTATTATTGATAAATGTTGATATTTGTATAATTCACTGAAAGAAGGCACAAATATTAATTTGGGAAGCTTACTGAAGTAAGCTTATGTTATATTAGTCAGTTGAAAGCTGTAACTTTCTTATTTTTTTTCAGATTTGAATCTAAGACCCAAATCTCATTGTTTACTCCATCAACCTTATCCAAGCTACTGAATATAGTCCAATATTATCTAATGTTTATCTTTTTGGGTAGGCAGATTTGCAAACATATTCTTTTGGTTTTGTGAGTGAATGTATCTTAGTAAGTCCACTGTCTTTCTCCATATGATTGATTATAAAAGGTTACTGTTTAACTAAATGTCTATAATCCAAATAAATAGACGTAGCACAATATATTTATCTAGGCTTACTTGTGGTCAAGGATACAGAAATAGTGAACATAGAAACCTATTTTCTTTTACTGTTCATAAAGAATTGCCTTTAGCCTTTTGATGATTAGAGCATACCTTTATTTTTGAATTTCTAAGTAATGTTTTAAGCTTATTAATTACTTAGAGGGATATTGGACCATTAGAAACTGCTTTATTTAAACAAGAAAAAGTGTAATTATCATAAAGAGTTATATATTAGATTCTTTATTCAAATTGTTATGAATAGATAGTTATGCCTGAGATACAATTTGGCATATGTAATCATAACACTCAGTAGCTGTAAGATTTTATTTCTGGTATTATGGGGATATTATATTTATTATAGTTAGATTAATGCAATTCAGACATTTATAAGGTGTCCCGTAAAGTTTCATTTGTAACTTTTTATAACTGGAAGGAAACATCTCATTTTAAACATAGAAATTGTACAGTTAAGTTTTGATTTTAATGAAAATTGGAAATGATAATAGTAGTATAACTAATTAAAGTAGAGGCTCTAATTTCCTTGATGGTGTTACTCCAGTTAATCTAACAAATACCTAAAAGCTCTTACAGTAGAATGCAGACTGTATTTGATACATATTCCTACCTTTGAGGCATGTGCCATGTGGTGGTGGAGGAGAAAGCTTTTTTAATGGATATCCTTGGCCCAGTAAAGAGAACTGCTTTCCTTCCCAACCTGTGGAGGTATCTGTGCAGTGCTAGAGAGCCCGGAGGGTGGAGACGGAGACTAGAAGCTGGCCTGGTGGTGGGGTGGGGGTGAGGGTTTTGGGTGGGCTAAAGAATGCTTATGTGAAGAAGTGATACATATGTATTTTATGATGCATGCACAGATGTGTCCCAATTCCCTGCAAATCTTGGGTACCTTCAGCCCTGCCCCAGTGTTCCACGGGTTTAGAGGCACATTGGGAAGGGAAGGAAATGGAGGACATAATGGAGCAGTGGAAGGATGCTGGGCCCCTTCCCTGGTCTTCAGGCCTTTTCTGAGGATCCTTTAGAGAGTGTAGACCAGAGGTTGACAACTGGTGATTAAAGTCGGCCCAAAGGTGTGTTTTATTTGGTTTCATTTTATTTAAAAACTTAAAATAGTCAACATCAAGTATAGAGATTCACATAAAAACCCATTCAGCAGGTCAGCCACATTCAGTTAGCCTTTCCTGCAGGGTGATTCTTTAGCCAGAGCTGAGGAGCCATCTGCCATTATTTATGTCTCTCACCTGGCCTTTGTAGCTGTTTAGGTTTGCAACCCCTGCCAGAGACCTTGGCTGACTCATTTGTGGTATACCTCGGGGGTTTGATGATCCTCTGTTCTTCACTCCTGCCTCGTTCCATTTCCCAGTTGAAAAATCAGCATTGACAACAGCAGCAACCTATAAAAACAGAAAAAAAAAAAAAAAAGGAAGTGTGTTCATTATGACCCTGATATTTATAAATTTTTTTCATTCTTTAAAATATGTTTACCATGTTCATGGAAAGTGCTTATATTTCCTTTTATCTTCTCTCCCTTTATTTATTGCGGGGACAAGCAATGTTTGTTTTCATTTCATTTCATTGCAGGGTAGCCAAGAGACAAAATTATTTTAAGCAAAGTACCTCCACTTTAAGTAAAGTTTTTGAAACTTTTCAAGCAGTCTAGATAGTAAAGCTTTTTCTGAAGAAGATTGAAATATCATTTTGAGAATCAGATGTATGTTTTTATTTTAAGCTGTATTACTTTGTCTTCATGTACATCCAATAGTACTAACAGAGTGAAAAGCAGTTTTATTTGTAAGGGTTTCCTAAATTGTATAAGAATTATAAAATATTTTTCTTCTCTTTTCTCACAAAATTCTACCAGCGAGTTGAAAATGGTGACTTCAACTGGATTGTTCCAGGAAAATTTTTAGCATTTAGTGGACCACATCCAAAAAGCAAAATTGAAAATGGTAGGTTTTTCTTTACTTTACCATCCAAAAATTTATTTCAGTTCATCTTCTTTAATTTCCTAAGATAATCCTTTCTTTTGGTAATAGTCCCCCAAAATATTTATTTATTAAAAAATTGAACAGTAGTAATTAGTGTGTTAAATATTATAGTTTAGTAGGTAGAACTATAATCCTGTTTTAAAACTAGAAAATTTGGGGGGCCCTGGGTGGCTCAGTTGGTTAAGCATCTGCCTTAGGCTCAGGTCATGATCCCAGAATCCTGGGATTGAGTCCCACATTGGGCTCCTTGCTTCTTCCTCTACCTCTGCCTCTCTCTCTGTCGCTCATGAATAAAATAAAAAAATAAAAATAAAAATCTAAAAAAAAAAAACTAGAAAATTTTTAAATTGCCATAAATAGGCACTTTACCTGACCCAGTTATCAAAGAAGAATCTGAGAAGCAAGCTGATCAAACTAGTAAGCAGACTGTTAAATTCTATCAGTGGTTTTGAGATTTATTTGGTGGTAGAGTGCTACATCAAGGTATTCTTTGGGGAACATCATGTGGAAAAATAACGATGATGATGATGATGACAATAGGTGTCATTTATTGAGTACTTGCTACACACTAGTTACTATCTAAGCGCCACGTTATCTCATTTAATACTCACCTCTATGAGATATAGATACACTTATCTCCATTTTGCAGAGGGAGAAACTGAGACTTACGAGTAGGGAATTTGCCCAGAGTAATAGGGGAACTGGTTCTCCATCTCAGAGCTGGGCTCCTAAACATTGCCACTGCACTGATCTATTTATTTCTATTATGACAACGAGAACACCTTTCCAGCTGACAGTACTTAAATTACTCATTTGCAGTATATGCATAGACAGGGGCACACATACTCAGGAAAACAAAAAAAAGCAAAACAAAGAATAAGCCTTTTGAATGAAACATAATTAGCTATGTGAGTTTTCCCATTAATATTTATTTTCTATTTATTTATTTTTATCTGCCAACATTCCTAGAAGACAAGTAATGATAGGCACCAAAGGTTTAAGAATAATTTATGGGAGGAGTACACAAAATTAAAAAATTTCACCTATGAACATAATAGCTCTTTTTTTTTTTTTTGCTCTTTATCTGTTCGTAGATCTGGAACATCAGTCTTTTGAAGGAACATAATCTGGAACCCCGAGTTTAGATTTATTCTCCTTTTATCACCATTATCTTCCTAAGTATTAATTCTACAAGCTAGTTTCATTGTATATTGTGAATCATACATTCGGATTTGCTGATTTGTTTGAGCTTTCACAGATGTGCTTCTCAGTTCATGCCCACGACATCTCTTCCAGGGATCTCTGTTTGAATCATGGTTTCCCTGTGATGGGTAATGCAAGTCTAGAGTTAAGCTACCAAATAGGAGGCCTGTGTACTGAAGCCAGAATTACATCCTCTCATTCATGAATTTGCTAATGAATCTATTTTGTTCCAGACATTGATTAACCTCTGTCACGTTGGGTTGTCAGGAGGAACATGTTAAGTGCCTAAGGAAACTACTTTCTGGCAGTTGGTCTTTCAAGACAGAATTGATTCAATTTACCTTTGGCCTTCTGTGCAAAGCGATCTGACTCAGACCCAGAAAATCTTAGTAGGTGCATGGTTTCAGTCATGGCATTGTTGGTGGGTGTTCATTTGATGAAGAAAGAATTTTGCCATTTTGGATTCCTGTGTTTTATGACATTTTCTTCAAGAGAAGATGAGAGGTGTAATTTATAGAATCATTTAAGATGTTTTTAGAGAGGTAATACATGCTTATATTAAAAAACAAAATGCAGATGAATTAATAAAAAGCATGTAAAAATGACCTATAATTCTACCCAAGTTTTCTAGAGCTAGGAGTTGGTGGTGGGATTATGGGGGTTTTAATTTTCTTTTCATCTGCTTCTCTGTATTTCCATGCACACATTTTTTTCCTCTTCCAGTGAACACACACACACACACACACACACATACACACAAACCTTTCTTTCTTATAAGTAGAGCATCACAATTACTGTCTTTTTAAAAAAGAAAGATTTATTTATTTATTTAGAGCATGAGAGAGAGTGAATGAGGGGAGGGGCAGAGGGAAAGGGAGAGAGGGAGTCTGCTCAAGCAGACTGAGCGCACAGCCCCATGCGGGGTTCGATCTCACAACCCTGAGATCGTGACCTGAGCCAAAATCAAGAGTTGGCCGCTTAACCGACTGAGCCACCCAGGTGCCCCATGATTACTGTCTTATATCAGCTTTTTTCACTTAACATATCACAGACTTCTTTCCATGGTAGTAAATGTTGATTTTCATTGTACTTTTCCATGACTGCATTGTATTTTATTCAGTGCTGTGCCATAATGCTGTTACTTTTTGAATGAGATCTACATTGTTTACAGTTTTTAATTTTCATGGTTGGCAAATGTTCCTACATTTCTTTGTAGTTCTCCTTTCCTCTCTAAATTCTTAAGTAGTAGAGTCAGTGGATAAAAGGCTATGAATAGGGGCGCCTGGGTGGCTCAGTCATTAAGCGTCTGCCTTCGGCTCAGGTCATGATCCCAGGGTCCTGGGATGGAGCCCCACAATGGGCTCCCTGCTCAGCGGGAAGCTTGCTTCTCCCTCTTCCACTCCCCCTGCTTGTGTTCCCTCTCTTGCTATGTCTCTCTCTGTCAAATAAATAAAATCTTTAAAAAAAATTTAAAAAAAAGCTATGAATATTTTGTGTGACAATTCTTTTTTTTTTAATTGAAGAACAGTTGACCTACAATATTGTATTAGTTTTAGGTGTATAATATAGTGATTGGATATTTCTCTACATCAGGACCTGGTCCCCACATTCAGTCTAGTTACCATCTGTCATCATAGACAGTCGTTAAATCATTATGACTACATTCCCTCTGCTGTATATTACATCCCCATGTCTTGTTTATTTTCTAATGGGAAGATTGTACCTTCTTAATTGCCAAAATCTTTAAAAATTCCTTTTGGCCGCATAATATAATACTGGGAAATAATTGTAACTACATTTGCTTTTATACGCCAGGAATGGGGCTGATAAGCCTTTTGTACATGTGTCATCTCTTCAAGAATCAGAACCACCCTCTTGGGGAGGTAGTAGTTATTTTATGGAAGAGAAGATAGAGGCTCGGAGGAATTACCTCACTTTCCCAGATTTACACAGCCAGAAAGTGGCAGTGTGTGGATTCAAACACATCTCTTTGATTCCAAATTCTGTGTTTTCATCTTATTACAGAGGAAGTACATGCTCACTATAGAAAATTTAAGCAATATAGAGAAAAAGTCACATGTAATTACATAATCTAGAAATAAACACTTAAGATACTGCTCTATATGCATCATTTTCCCCCATGCATCTATTGTGCCCTCTTACATTGAGGAAAAAAAGGTCTGGAAGTGCTATTTACCTAGTATTTGTTGTTTTTTATGATATCTAGGACAATTTCACTTAAGGCTGTCATTAGTAAATATTGACATTTGACTCGACTCCCCATTTTAAGATTGAATAGTCACTAGAAGCTTCATCATATTTTTTGTAAAAGAGCTTTTAACTTTGTAAATCTTTTTTGAGCTTAATAAAATAATTGTGTGATGGAACTAATAAACTTGATCCAATTACAGTGAAATCTAGGTGCTTGCTTGCCTTTTTTTTTTTAATTGAGAAACTGTGTTTCCTGAGGAGGCTGAAAATCATGTTAGGGGTTTGTTAATAGAAAAGGTAGATTTTTTACAGAAATTAACACTCAAATAGCTGTTGCTAGGATGTAGGCAAAGAAACCCTAAAATCCTGCGGTCTGGGCAGAACGCATTGTAAGAGTCTTAAGTGTGTCTTGTGTCAACACAGAGCAAGTACAGTTTGTTATACTCATCTTGGTTCACATTGTTTTGATGGCGGGGAAGAGAAGAGCCCTACCTTTTTTTGGTTAAATAAATTTGAATTGATACATGAATAATAAAGCAATAGAATGAAACATATTTTGGATTTCCAGTTTTCCCCCAAATCCCCCAAACTCTCAGGTGGCAACGTCCTTCTCCTCTCTCAAAAAAAAAAAAAAAAGAAAGAAAGAAAAAGAAAAGAAAAAAGCACAGAGAAAGACAGCCTGAGGCAGGGAATGGCAACAATCTGAAACCTGTTCAGCTTGGTCATATAATGAGAGAAGCAGGTGTGCAGGGCTTGGGCAGAGGAACCTGACTCTGCCCCTTACTGGCTGTGTGAACTTCCCAGAGTTTTGCAGCTTTCTCTGAGCATCCGTTTCCTTGTAGGTCAAACGGGAAAAAGGATGCACAATGCACATCTAGTGATGATTAGAGATACTAGATGAAGTGTCTTGCACAGTGTCAGGCACAGAATAGGTGCTTATTAGCAGATATTCTGATTACATTTTTTCATTAATGAGCCTAAATATATTTTATTGCTTCCTACATCTACCTGCCCCTTTTGAAGTTTTAACTTTTTTTAAAAAAGATTTTATTTATTTATTTGAGAAAGAGAAAAGCGAGCTAGCACGAAAAAGGGGAGGGGGGGCAGAAGCTGACTCTGCACTGAACAGGGAGCCCATTGTGGGACCCTGGGATCCTGACCTGAACCAAAGGCAGATACTTAACCAACGGAACCACTGAGGCACCCCAAATTTATACTTTTAATAATGACTGGGTGGACTAGTCATTTGATTCTGTTCTTCAGGGTTCTAACTTTAAATGAGGGGCTGGGACGAGAGGAACTTTGAATCTCTCCGCTCTGAAATTGTTTGGTCGGCTCTTGGGCTCTGCCTGTGCTTTACTGATGCCAGGGCGCCATCTAGTGGCCAAATGGAGGAAGGGGCTGCTGAATGCTCTGTCCTCTCTGCACGCTGCTAAAACCAGTCCGAAATGCAGTGATAACACCCACAAACAGTTATTCAGAGGTCATAGGATATTGTCATTGTCATTGGTTATAACTCACTTGAAACAGTTTTGAGGATTTTAAAGAAACCTGCTCACGAACTCTAGGAAGTGTAGCCCCTAATGTTCGTATAACATTCCTTTGTTTGGGGACCTAACAGAGTCAAGTTGGATCTTACTTGAAATCAGCCCCAGCACAGGCCCTGGAATCTGACTGCCAGGGTTCAAATGCTGCCCCTATCTCTTACTAGCTGTGTGTGCCTGGGCTACTTTACTTTTCTAGGCAGCAATAACTGGGTAATTGCAAGGTTTAATGAGATGATCCATATGAAGCACTTTGTTTAGTGCCTGGCACATAATAAGTGCTTAGTAAATGTTAGTTATGATTATTATCATTATTGTTTTTATTTCAATGTCCTATTTCCATATTTGACTAACTGTCCAGTTTTTTTAAAACCCAGATATACACGGAATTTCTCTTAATAGTTGATTTAGATATATTTACTCCTGAGAGAAATTAATATATAAGAAGAAACTTCTTCCTTCTCTTCGTCTTGGTGGAGGAGGGAAGGGGATAGGCACCAAACCAACCATTAGCACATCTGGTAACAGGTGCCATCACAGAGGTGCCAGGTATGCTAGGAACCCAGGGTCGGAAGTGCTCACCAGCCACACCAGGGGAAGACTTCCCATGTGTTTATGAGTACTCTCCTTCCCATTCTTACATGATAGAAAAGCTCGTTTCCTTATGCCATCTGATATGGTTTGAAGTGGGGTCCATAAGTCACCAGCCAAGGAAGAATTCTTGAGATGTTTTCAGTGCAAAAAAGTATTTTTACTACAGCATGGGGACAGGACCCATGGGCAGAAAGATCTGCCTCGGGATGGTAAGGAGCAATTGATTCGATACTTTGGAGTTGGGGGAGGTAAAGACAGGAAGTTTCCAAGAGGATTTTCATATGCTAAAGACTTATAGGATGCTGGAGGCCTAGCTGTTGTCAAACTCAGGTTGTTTTTCCCTCTAAGCAAAGTACTGAGACAGTTGGGAGTTCCTGGAGGACTGTCTCAAGTATTTGTCAGTGGGCTGCACGTTATAAGGAAACTTAATTTTACCTACATTTCCTTCTTGCCTTTGTTCCCCCACCAACCACAGCTCTTTTCTCCTTTAGGTTGTAAATCTGTTGCTGGAAAATAATTTGAACTTGGTAGGAAAACAGATTTGTTTTTTCCAAGTAGAAAACTGCATCCATTTTCTCTAAATGTGTGTGTATAAGTTACTGTTTCTACACAGAAGATTGAAAATAAGCTCTGTATTACCTGTTTGCCCGGAAGCAGCATGGCCTGTGAGAATCTTGTATCTGGGCCACGGAGTAGTTTGATCTGCCTTCCAGTTCTGCCTCCAACCATTGCGTGACCTTGGCCAAGGATACCAGTTAGGGCTCTGTTTGTAGGCAGCAGAACCACCTCTGGTAAATTAAACCAAAAAAAGCATTAATTGGAATGATGCTGGGGATCTCACAGCCTCCAAGGGAAGGCTGGAGAATGAGGCCTAGAAAATGAACAGGATCCAAGCGAGACAATGTCTCAGCAGGGTCCAGGCAGGGAAATGGAAACCACACCATTTCAAACAGAGGGAATTTAATACAAGGGATTTGTTACAGAGAAGGCTAAAAAGGAAAAGGGCAACACTGAAGAAACCAGAATATTATGGAGGAAAGAGCTCCTGCCTTTAGAAAGGTAGAAAGTGAGGTCACCAGAATCTGGGGGCTTGGAAGGGGAGCCAGGCTGGTATTGGGAGCTCTGAAGGGAATGCCACCAGCTGGTGTGTGCATTTGGGGGCTGAGGAGCAGAGACCAGGTGGCTGGGCCGCAGACTGGTACTGGGAGTACGATGCTGAGCTGGGAGCTCTGGTTGCTCCTATCTTCTTCGGCTGAAGCCTCCTGGCCCCCACCCAGAAGCTTCTGGTCACTCCAGTCGTGCTTTGTGCCTCCCATGTTTTGAACTGACAGCGAGCCAGCTGCAAATGCCCTCTGCAGACCCTGGCCCCAGCATGGGAGGGTTGGCTTGCTGCTGAGAGAAAATAGGAAATGACCAGCATATGCAGAGTCCGAGGCAGTGCAAGATACGGCCAAGGACACAGCGAAGAAATTGCTGGTTTACTTTGCGGGCTAATGCCACCCATACGCTCTGGGCCCACCATCATGAAAGAGTTCTGAATGAGACTGTCTCACCCGGTATGCCCTGCGTCAGTGAACCCTGCATACGTTACAGGTGTGGTCATCAGGGTGCTGAGAAGTTAGTCCCCTGTGAATCCCTGGGGCTGCGGGCCAGGTCCGCGGTGGCCAAAGCCCACCCTCCCCCCCGCCGCCGGTCACCTCGGTTGATTGGCCAAGTCTAGGTCGCATATCTGTAACCCAGCTGACTCTGTAGCTCCCGGGAATACTCACACGATGCTGGATCCACTGGAAACGGAAGGCGGTTTAGGGGCTGACCACCTATACCCCTGTGCCTCTCCCAGTGAAAATGTCTACAAAAATTTATTCAACTTTTTTAGTTTCTCCATCTGTTAAATGGGGTTTACTATTCTTACCTTAACAGGCTGTTTGGAGAATTAAAAGAAATGATATACAATGGTGACTTAGACGTGGTAGGTGCTTAATAATTATTCCTCTCTTTTGTGGGGGATTGCACTGTAGAGTGAAACGAATCACCCAGCACAAGGGCTTTAACTGTAGTTGAAAAGTATTTGTCGGGGCACCTGGGTGGCTCAGTTGTTAGGCATCTGCCTTCAGCTCAGGTCATGGTCCCAGGATCCTGGGATCGAGCCCCGCATTGGGCTCCCTGCTCTGTGGGAAGCCTGCTTCTCCCTCTCCCACTCCCCCTGCTTGTGTTCCCTCTCTTGCTGCCTCTCTGTCAAATAAATAAATAAAATCTTAAAAAAAAAAGTATTTGTCAAGTGGAAGAAAAAGCACGAAGAATCATGCCAGCAGGCCTCCTGGGCACCTTTGACCTTTGAGTGGCCCCCGGATGCCTTTGTTTTGGCTTAGGAGGAGTGTATGCTTCCAGGACTTGAATCCTATGGGTAGAGGTTTCGGATTTTCATGAGCGATTTCCAGTACTCAGAGAAGGTTTTTTCCCCCTCCTGTGGTGTGTGTGTGTGTGTGTGTGTGTGTGTGTGTGTGTGTGTGGCTCTTCAGACTGCTGCTTTAGGAAAGTGCTTCCACCTCTTTCTTACTCTCTCAGGAAATGACCTTTCCTCGTAAGCTCTGGAGATTCATAAACTTGACCGTGAAGCGTTCTGGCGTTCCTGGGTGTGTCAGGGAAACGCGTGCCTTTTGCTCACAGCTCCGTTTTCCCTTCAGGCTATCCTCTTCACGCCCCTGAAGCCTACTTTCCTTATTTCAAAAAGCACAACGTGACGGCAGTCGTGAGGCTGAACAAAAAGATTTACGAGGCGAAGCGCTTCACAGACGCGGGCTTCGAGCACTACGACCTCTTCTTCATCGACGGCAGCACGCCCAGCGACAACATCGTGCGGAGGTTCCTGAACATCTGCGAGAACACGGATGGGGCGATCGCGGTTCACTGCAAAGGTGCGTGCGGCTTCAGTGGCCACTCTGGAAGGGGACGCGGCCGAAAGCTGCCAGTCATGCAGAGCCAAACCAGCTAGAGTCGGCCGAAAAAAGACCACGAGTGTTTTTGTTTGTCTGTTTGAGAACACTGGAACACAAACCCATTTAAATAACCCCTTCCTGTGGCAAGGCTTGCTTAGATGCGGATAATCGGTGGAGGTCTGCTTTTCCCCGGCCTTACCTTACCCAGCTCCTGCTCGCTGACGCCAGGCAATCGCCACATGGCCCTGTCTGTGGGCCGGGAGGAATGCCCTGACTAGGTACAGTTGTCAAGAGGCAGTTTTTTCCCTCCTTTTCATCCAGAATTGCCAACCTCCTTTCTACCCTCCTCCACCCATGTGATATTTTATGCTCCCATTTTAGGACCCAGCCGTCTGGACTCCATTTTGCCCTCTACTCCCCCCTTCCCTTACTGGTTTTTTGTATAACGGACCAGAGTGTCTTCCCTGCCCATTGCTAGCGGAGGGCAGCATGCTGGGGTCACTGGCGAGCTTGCTTGCTGCAGATGCGTTAACTGTTTCTTTGCGTGAACTTGGTTATGTAAAGACTTGGTTATATAAACGAATCTCTGCTCTCTAGGGGTGGGTACTTCCTCAGGCAGGGGTCTTTCAGACTACAGGGGCCCTAAAGTTGCCAGATTCAGTAAATAAAAATACAGGACGCCTCGTTAAATTTGAATTTTTGACAAACCAATGAATACTTTTTTAGTATGTTTCGAGTATGTCACGGAACATACATTCTGCATTTTAGCTGGCAACCTCGTGTTGGCTACTCAGAAAATGTGAAATAACATTTTCTCCAAGCTTAGTTGTTAGACTGTGAGGAGGATCAGATTCCGTTTTAGATTTTCCAGCCCTGGTGGGAGGTCTTTTACTGGGGTCTTTGATTGGAGTGACAGGAGTTATCTCTGGCCACTCTGGGATGGAGGCTAGTTCCTCGCACGCATCTCATCCTGCCACTGGGTGGCGCTGCTCTCACGATTTTGAGTCTGATCACTAGTTTCTGTGGAGTTTATGCTAATTGCCTAGTAGGTGTTGGGGATTGTACTGTTCTTTTCAAGTGCCTAGTGCTGCTGTAACTGACTTATTCAGACAAGCATGGCTTCGGTTCTGACAGAAATTAAAATACCATTTTGTAGGCCTTTGTTTCTATGTTTAAGATTTGAGTAGGTGGAGGTACTTGGCTGACATGTGAGCGGCAACGGGAAGCTGAGTTTTGCCAAAGACCCGGAGAGACGCACGTGGCCGCGATTCGGATGAGGGCTCCTTGTGTCAGGCTCCATCCACATCAGCCGAGCCGCCGCCACCCCTTCTCTTCCGGTTTCTTAGCTGGATGGGGCCCTGGCGTGCAGGACGCCCTAGCTCTCCGAGGGTGTGTGTGTGTGTGTGTGTGTGTGTGTGTGTGTGTGTGTGTGTGTGTGCACTGGCGTGCAGGACGCCCTAGCTCTCCGAGGGTGTGTGTGTGTGTGTGTGTGTGTGTGTGTGGCGGGGTATGTTGGGGCGGGGTATTGGGCTAGGAAGGTGTCTTGTTCTCTCATCCAGAGAGTGCTTTCAGGACGCCCTAGCTCTCCGAGGGGTGTGTGTGTGTGTGTGTGTGTGTGTGTGTGTGTGTGTGTGTGGCGGGGTATGTTGGGGCGGGGTATCGGGCTAGGAAGGTGTCTTGTTCTCTCATCCAGAGAGTGCTTTCAGTTCTCATCAGGTCACAGTGGAGTGGTGGGGAGCTGGCTTGCCCTTGATGGGGTCCATTTGCGCTCTGACTTTGCCTTTCCAGCTCATTTTGTTAACGATTGCCCAGGCCCGAGAAAAAGCCAGCATTTCGCACATTTCAAATATCAGTGGACCTTGAGAGCTAGTGGGACTATAGTAGCTACCAACCTTTAGTAGGAGATGTTTGTGTGCTCTTTTTCAAAGTTTTTGTGTCACAAAAATTAATATTTTTCCTCCGATTAATTTGGCCTTATTTCCTAGTCGATTAATTTTATGGTTACCAAGTCATAGAGCTTATCTGTGTGTCATATGTTGGATTGACAAATTCATGGAAGAAGAAATGCAAAACTGTCATTAAAACTCAGTATCTTTCTCTTTTTAACAGAAGTATAGTTGATTCACAATGTTATATTAGTTTCAAGTGTACAACATAGTGATGGGACAAGTTTATACATTATGCTCTGCTCACCACACGCGCAGCTCCCATCTGTCACCATACGATGCTATTATAATACCATTGACTATATTCCCTATGCTGTGCCTTTTATGCCTGTGATTTTTTTCATTCCATAACTAGAGGCCTGTACCTCCCACTCCCCTTCACCCATTTTGTCCCTCCCTTCATTCCCTTCCACTGTGGCAACCACCGGTTTGTTCTCTGTATTTATGGGTCTGTTTCTACCTTTTCTTTATTTCTTTCTTTTTGTTTTTTTAGATTCCACATATAAGTGAAATTGTATGTTATTTGTCTTTCCATCTGACATATTTCACTTAGCATAATACCTTCTAGGTCCATCCATTTTGTTGCAAATGGCAAAATCTCATTCTTTTTTATGGATGAGTAATATTACATTATATATACATATATACATCTCTCTCTCTCTCTCTCTATATATATATGTATACTTCCTTATTCATTCATCTATCGATGGACACTTAGGTTGCTTCCATATCTTGGCTATTGTAGATAATGCTGCAATAAACAGGGGTGTGTATATCTTTTTGAATTAGTGTTTTCATTTTCTTTTGGGTATCTGCATCTCTCTTGATAGCATTTCTCACCTAACTGAAATTATAAAAATGAAACTCTCTGATGTTCAAAATTCTTATTACAGGTATTCTCTGTATTATATCCTAGATTTGTGAATGTTAACATTTAAAAAAATACAGTATGGGTGTATGAGTTGTGTGTGTATGTATTTTATACTGCAGAGGTTTATATATTTTTATTTAAAATCAGAACCATTAGCACTGAGGTGAGTTCTTGTATGGGAAGGTCACATTCACATGTGGTGACATCTTTTGGATAATGTTATTTCATTTGCTTCCACTTGTACACACATGTGGGACTCCTTTATAAAGATTACACCTTCCGTTTAATTACAGCTGTATTGCTTTTAATAGCATACTTATCTACTAGAGGCCTGTTAATTATTTTGACATCTGCCCTAATTAAGTCAGTTTAATTTTCTGGGAATTGAAGCATCACTGAGCATTTTAACTGAAGTACAAGGAGGAGGGAGAGAGAATCTTATCCTATGTCACATGAATTTCAGTAGCTGCTGGAAAGGGAATGAAGATGTCGTGCCTCAACATAAAGTGCTAGATAGAGAGACAAACTAGAAATTGATTTGCTGGGAATGTGTGAAATCTTACCAGTGATCCAGTGTCTATAGTTCACCTTCTGGTTGATAAAAGGGATGACTATGATTTGTTTTTGAAAATTTCTAGCACAAATAATAATTTAAAAAAATGGGAACACTGTGATGTTCTGGTATGTGATTGTTGATATTCTGTAGGATTTCAGAAAATGCCCGGAACTACAAGGGAATCAGCATTTAACTTGGTATAAATAGAGTACTTTTCAACGTCTTGTCTTGCTGTGTCAGGGAGCCCTTTAATTATGAATGCTTTAAGAAATTTGTTAAAGTTTTTATATTTTTTTAGTGAAATGTTCCTATTCTGTTGAATTGTGGTAAGAGCTCCTAACTATTGAGTGCTAAGTACGTTCTTTTTATAGATCTAAATTATAGACTCTTTTTAAAAGGGGAAGGAACTTTAGTTTCAGAGAAATTTGAAAATTTTCTGCACCACCTTTTTTGGTTGTGAGTGTGTGTGACTAGGAGCCTAGCCGAGGGAATGGGACAGCCCCTTCTTTGCACAGGGAGGGGAGCAGTGAAAGGTAGGGCTGCCTCTAGAAAGACCATCTCCTCTCCAGGGAGGAGACTCCAAGGAGGGACCCCAGAAAGTCCTTGCGCATTGCAGGTTCCTACTGAGGTTCCTACAGCAGGCTGTCTCCGCTGTGTTTTATCCACAGGATTACCTATAGTCTTGTCAGATGTCTAAGAGTTCACAATGCTGCAGAGGCAAAGAGTATCTGCTCTGGACAGAAACAGAAAGGCAAATTGCCTTCACTCTAATGTTAAAGGAAGAGCCCCACTGAGACCACAATGAAATTTTACTCTTTTCTAAAGAATGTTGATGTTTGATCTGGGGCAAAATGTACTTCAGGTGGAAACAGCCTACACACACACACACACCCCCTCATCTAATAAAACATTGTAAATATAATTTTTAAAAAGGAAGGCTTAATGGGAAGGGAATGTCAAGCATCTGTAAACATGAGCTTGATTGTAATTTTATTTGCATTTTTTAATAAAGGTTGTATTTTTAAGCAATCTCTACACCGGTGTGGGGATCAAACTCATAATCCCGACATCAAGAGTCACATGTTCCTCCAACTGAGCCTGCCAGGTGCCCCTCATTTGCATTTTGATGTGTATTTTCAACCTGCCTTTATTGCCTCCAAGGAGGGAGAATTGTTTTTTTTTTTTTTTTTAGGGGGTGGGGTGGGGAGGAACCATTCTTTTTCTGTGTAAAGCACAGATTTACGTACTGTACATAGAGATATGCAATATACTGTGGCAGTAACAGTTCATGGGAGACGATCAGGAAAAACGTCTTAAAGAGGCTCTTAGAGGAGGCAATAAGGAAAAAAAGATTGAGAAACCCTGATTTAGAGACCGCTTTTTCACACTTTCACATTTATGGAACTAGGATGGATCTGAAAATGGGTAGCATGTCATAGTTTAATTTTTTCTTACTTAGGTGGAATTTAAATAATGGTGCATGTCACACTGTTAGGCGACTTGATGGTATCTTAGATTTGGGGAGACACTGTGTATTTCGAAGTATGGGAGAGATTAGAGAAGATACTCTTTATTATTTGACCAGCAAAGCTTACAAAAGGGCTCCTCTTTTGGGGGAAAAGATTCTTTTTTTTTTTTTAAGATTATTTATTTATTTATTTGACAGAACAAGAGAGAGACAGTGAGAGAGGGAACACAAGCAGGGGGAGTGGGAGAGGGAGAAGCAGGCTTCCCGCGGAGCAGGGAGCCCGATGTGGGACTCGATCCCAGGACCCTGGGATCGTGACCTGAGCCGAAGGCAGACGCCTAACGACTGAGCCACCCAGGCGCCCCAGGGAGAAAGATGCTTAAGCATATTAAAAACAAAGCTGTCAACTTTCCTGTTTCCTTTTCTAACTAAATGTTTTCACGGATGAAATTGACCTTGGACCAGTTTTCCAGGCCAGAAATACCAGTCATCTTTCACTTTCCCTGTGATCCAGTCCAAATGGGTCCAAATTTCTAATTCAGCTCCTCCTTTTAATCACCAAGGTCCATCCAGCCCCATCTGTGCCCCTCCCGGCCACCTCGCCCTCCTGCCCACCTCACCCTCCTGCCCCAGGCTCCTAGCTGTTCCCTGGCTCCCCCCTCTGTACTTTCCAACATTGTCTGTGTGCTGCTTCCTGAGCATCTCCTTTTATCACGGTACTTTCTTGCCCCCAAATACATGGCAACTTTATTTTGCCCTTTACATTGGTTGAAGGAAAAAATACAGATTTTTTTTACATAATAGCAGTTGTATGTTTATTAGCTATTGGATAATATCATGAATTCTGTAATACTTTAAAATGACTTGAATTTTGTTCATCAAAGCATCATCTACATGTATTTGAGGAGCAATAATAATACATAGACCCAGGAGATGTGACTTAACCGGTACTCAGAGCACGGTGGACCTGGTTCTGGAGACTCCTAATGGTAATTCAGCGGTCCTTTATGTCTTTGGCCCACAACTTGGAATCTTCTTCACCTAAGCTCGGGCCCTTCCACTTGACTCAGAGGTGCTCAATTTTCTGGCCTTTTCCACCCATCTGACCTTATTCTGCACTCGACACACACTGACACATTCTTCAGCCAAGCTTTCATTCATCACACCCTTTGCTGAAAATATTCTGTGACCTTCCTATTCTTTAGAGTCTGCTAAAGTCCGTGTTAGCAATGACACATTCTTTGAAGACACCAGAGGCTCACACAGCGTCCCCCACTTTGTCTGAGAGCCCAGTTTCTTTGTTGTTGTTATCTTTCCCATTTCTTTGTTATTGTTTCCGGCTTGATATTCTGCAACTGCTCTGATACTCATCATGGTAAAAAATTATATCCTATACTTGCTTATATCCTTATCCTATGAGCAGAACCCTGTCCTGAGAATCTTGAATAAGCCTTTGACTAGCTGAATTTAATGTCTAAAGACAGAGCTACTTTTCTTTTCTTTTCTTTTTTAAAGATTTATTTATTTGAGGGAGAGAGAGTGTGTGAGTGCAAGTGGGCAGAGGGGCAGAGGGAGAGACTCTTCAAGCAGACTCCCCGCTGAGCATGGAGCCCGACGTGGGGCTCAGTCTCATGACCCATGAGATCATGACCTGAGCCAGATGCTCAATTGACTGAGCCACCCAGGCACCCCAGAGCCACTTTATTCTTCTATAAGAAAAAGTGTAGGGACATCTGAGTGGCTCAGCGCGTTAGCGTCTGCTTTTGGTTCAGGTCATGATCCCAGGGTCCTGGGATCGAGTCCTGTATTGGCTCCTTGCTCAGCAGGGAGCCTGCTTCTCCCTCTGCCTGTCGCTCCCCCTAGTTGTGCTTGCACGCTCCGCCTCTGACAAATAAATAAATAAAATCTTAAAAAAAAAGTGTATATGATACAAACAGATTTTAAGTAGTGGAAAAATAACTCTGCATACTGCTTTGCTCATGGGTGGTACGTAAATAAAAATTTACAGTACTGAATCTAACACCAAGAAGCCAGATATGGAAAGATTTAGAAAATGCTTGTAAATGAGAATTATTGGTTCAGTCCTATATACTTCTTGAGGGCAGGCATCCTGCTTGTCTTCATATTTCTGTTTTCAGATCTTTCACGGTGGCTTGTATACAGTTGGTCTCAATCAGTACCTGTTAGAATGAGTGACAGGATGCGAGCCAAGAGTGGAAAGAATTCTGGGATGAGAATCAGGACCATGGGGGAATTTTAGTCCTGAATTCCGTACGCACTTGTTATATGAGTCAGTTGGTTGGTATCTTTGGGCCTCCGTCATTCTGGTATGTGAACAACCACCACTATTAAAAACCTGTGGCTTGATATAAAGTTTTTGAATATTTTTGCAAAAGGAGGAAATCGGTGTGTATTTTTTTAAAAAGATTGGCTAAAATGCAAATCAAGTCCTATCACTATTATTTCTTTGGAGAGAGGGAAAAAAATACAGCAATTGTTAAAAACACTTTGAAGAAATCAGAGCTCACGATAATAACCAGTATTTCACTGAAAGTCATTTTTTTTGAAAGTCATTTCTAACTGTATTACTTAATCTTATGTAACAGAGTGCATTCAACATAAAGAACATAAGCTAACACCAAAGTTCTTAGAAAATGAAGGAGCCTGGGGAAATGAAATTTGAGCACTTCTGTTTGCTTTGTTGTTCCTCAGTGGACTGTGTACTGTCCCAAGGGCAGGGACCATATCTCTTTTATTTGTCACTGTGCCCCCAGCTCCTAGCACAGTACCTGGCAGGTCGTAGGTGCTCCATCCATACCTACTGACTGAGGAAATCATGAAATCCTGGGGTCTGATGGAGTGGCAGGGAGGTCAGACGACCATCTGATAAAGGTAGTATTGAAACAGTTGTGGGCTAGGGAGTCGATGAGGCTTGGTGACATCTATGGTGTCTTCCAACTTTGATTCTATGATTCCTTATTCTGCAATAAGTTAAAAAAAAAAGCCACCCTAATCATTTAAACAAGCTATAAGTGGGCCATGATAATATAATCAGTTACACGGCTGATTCAGAGGTCACACAAACTATTAACTGTAGGTTCATCTCAGCCTGGGCTGGGGTCCAGGGTGGGGAGGGTGAAGACACCTGACAGGTGATATTTTGTAAGTGCTTGTCATGGAAGCCCCATTGCTTTAACAATATCCACAATGATGGCCATTCCCAAAGGCCCCTGGGGGTTGAACTTGATCGTTTTTCAAGACCCTTGCTCTGATTTGTATATGTTCTTACATAGGCTTATTTTAATTCTATGATCTATTTTTAGAAGATTTCTTGAGTTAGAATTATCTTTTAACCCCACATCATGTAGAAAAGCATTACGTTATTGTCTGGGTTTACAACACTTGCATTATACTTGAAACCATTGCAGTTTCTGGGCAGGGTTTGATTTCGGGATTTTTGTGGGTACCTTTGCTATATTTTGTCTTTCTTGGTCTGTTTCCTTTTCTTGCAGCTGGTCTTGGAAGAACAGGGACATTGATAGCCTGTTATGTCATGAAACACTACAGGTTTACACACGCTGAAATAATTGCTTGGATCAGAATATGCCGGCCAGGCTCCATTATAGGACCCCAGCAGCACTTCCTGGAAGAGTAAGTATATGGCCTCCGTTACCATATTATGACCTTGGTTCTGATCATTTCTACCTCGTGTTCTTCTGGCTGTGGACTGTGTCAAGCCTGTGCTCATAAAATGGCTGCACTGTGAGAGAAGTCTGTGCCTCTAATGGAATATTGTTGATTTGACAGCTAATGCATTCTAACTTTGTACCTTTTTTATCTCTCAGATCAGGTGAGAGAAGAAAATCACAGAGCCATCTCTGCCTACCTTTTTTCTGTCATTTTCTATGTGTGATCTGGCTACAGTGCAATTTTCTTATGTCATCCTACTTGACACTTTTCATTCTTTTCTTTTGTTTGCGTGTCTAAAAGCAGAATGAAAAAAACCACAACTAAGGTCCGTCAGTGATTTGGGTGACATTGCTGCTTTCCTGACAACGAACTAAACTGCTAAAGTAGCTGCAACTTACGAGTTACCAAGGAAGAAAAAAGAGAACTGGGTTTTAGTCCTGGCCATGCCACTAAATGGCTTTATGACCATTATTTGGAAGAATACTTATAAATTCATTCATTCATTCATTCATTCATTCATTCATTCGCATATGCATGAACTATTCGTCAAACCCCAGCCCATAAGGTGGAGAGATTTAACTCCTAAAAGAACAATCCTTTCAAAATTTTAGAAATTACCACTGATTTATCCATTAATAAAATGAGGAGATGAAATTAACATTAGCTGATTTAGGTCCAACTCTAAAATATTACCAATGATCTTATTAAGAAATTTTACTTTTTTCTTTTTATGCTGTGATAGCTGTATCTTTAATAGCATTCTTTTTTATATAATTAATTTCTTTTCCCGTTTAAGTCTCTTTCTGTTGGTGAGAAACAAATAATGTGACTTTCACAGAAAAGATGCTCTAAGTAAGTCATAAGCATCTGAAATGGTTAAAAGGATTTGAAGAATCCTCAGAAGCTGAGGAACTACTTCAGTTGCCAGCCCCAGGGGTTGTGGGGAGGGGGGAGGAGATAAGAACACAGTGCTGGAAATGTGAATTTATATCTTTGCTTCAAAGAATGAAATAGAAGTGTAATGAATACACAAGAAAAAATACCAAGAACAGGATCATTAAGAAGGCAGAGGTTCCTAGGGTTGGCCTATGAGATACAAATAAAGTAATTCTATTGTTATAGAGATTTATTCTTTATCAGATTCTCAGGGAGTGTTTCCTCTGCTTTATGTGTGCCTAGAGCCTGGAGCTTGGTGCTGTATATCTGCCAGGGGCTTGTTGTACGAACTGCTCTCTAAAGTTAAGTAAATTAGGATTAGGAAACAGAAACCAAGACGCTAATAAACCTGCTTCTTTAAGAAGGTCCATCAATCTCTTAAAACCATTGTTGGGAAGAATGTTCATTCATTAGGTAGCTACTGAATACTCTCCTTGCTCCCAGCACTCTGCTAGGTGCGGCTCCCAGAGTGAGGAGATGTAGCTGAGAATTGTACCTCGTTTTCCCGGGGTGTCCAATACCACAACCCTCCCACCTCATGCCTGTACATGCCCCCCGCCTCCCTCCCTACTATGCCTCTTCTCTCTGCCACATCTCAAAATTTTTTAACAGAAGAAATTAGGTTATGAGGCAAAAAGGGCCCTCTACACTGAAAAAAGGTGTGTTTTTTTGTTGTTGTTGTTTTTTTTTCCATTTCATTTCAGCTAGAAAACTCAGGATATTTCCTTTGGTGTGAGTCCATATTATAGTTTTCTAAGTATTTTTCTGTAGGAACTGAGGTGCAGAAATGACTTCCTTGCATAACTGAAGCATTAAAATCAGTCATTAATTAAAGTTATCAGTTAAGATCAGGCCTAGAATAAGTCATTAATGCTTAGGTCAGAACCTTCCTGAAGGCAGAGTCTTTGAGGCACTAGACCTTCCATGTTTTGCAGTATTTCTCATGGAGCTAGCATTGGGAAAATGCCTGCATCATTTCCTAGGCTTTATTAGATCACCTCCACCAAGGTAGGAGTTTAATCTGCTTTATGCTTTGAGTGGTACCAGAGGTTCTATTGTGCTTTACTTGACTGTGTATGCTTCTCTTGTTCTCTTCTCCTCTTGTTTTTTTTTCCTTTCCAAGGAAAGAAAAATGTACCCCGTAGCAGAAGACATTGCTTAGTGCATTCGTGACGTTCATTCATCTGACAGAGATTTATTAGATGTGCACTCTCTGTCAGGCCGTGCTCCTGGGCCTGGGGTGGCAGCAGGGAACATGCCAGACACGGTGCTTTACTCGCAGGTGTAATATCTCTAGTGGAAGGAGCAGACAATGAACAAGCGTGTAAGTTTATAGACGAGATCATTTCTGACAGCAGTATGAACAGTGGAGACTAGCAGTAGGGGAGGGGGGTGATTACAGGGGATGGGAGAGCACTTTGGCCAAGGAGGGCTTCTTGAAAGAGAGCCAGAACCTCGAGGGTGGAAGGAATCTGTGCTGGTGGTCTGAATTGTGTCCTGGGTAGCAGGCACGCGGAGGTCCCGAGATGGGAACGTGCACCATTTCTGAAGCCCAGAAAGAAGGCTAGTGTGGGTAGAATACAATGAGCTGGAGTGGGTGGCTTGAGAGGTCGGCTCAGTCAATTTTCACTAAGTGAACATACCCTTGTAACCACATTGCAGATCAGGAAATAGAACAATTAGCAGCATCCAGAAGCCTCCCTTGTACTCCTTGCATTCACTACCCAGTTCTTCTGCCTGTGTGACCATTACGCTTACTTCTAACATCATAGATGAGTTTTGCCTGATTGTAACCTTACACAAATGGAATCAGTATGTATGTCTGGCTTCTTTCAGTCAGCATTATTTTATTGTTATGTGTAAAAGTAGTGTGTTCATTTTCATTGCTGGATAAAATTCCAGTGTTTGAATATATAGTATTTTAGCTCTTCTGTTGATGGATATTTAAGTTATGTCCAGTTTGGGGCTATTTCATATCTTTGGTATATCTATCTGTTGGATGAATACCTGTGAGTGGAACATTCAGTTATAGCAGATATCACTAAAGACTTTTCCAAAGTAGGTCTGCCACCTTAGATTCCTTTCAACAGCGGGTGGGAGTTCTACTTTCTTCACATACTTACTAATACTTGATATTGTCAGTTTTTTAAAGTTAAGTCATTATACTCTGCTCGTAGTGGTATTTCACTTTGTAGTTTTAATTTGCTGTTCGCTGATAGCTAATGTGGTTGAACTTTTCGTGTATTTGTTGGCCATTTGTGTATTCTCTCTTTTTTAAAAAAAGATTTTATTTATTCATTTGAGAGAGAGAGAGCACAAGTTGGGTGGAGGGTTAGAAGGAGAGAGAGGAGCAGGCTCCCCGCTGAGTAGGGAGCCCAATGTGGGACTCGATCCCAGGATCCTGGGATCACGACCTGAGCTGAAGGCAGACGCTTAACTAACTGAGCCACCCAGGCGCCCCTGTGTATTCTCTTTTATGAAATATATTTTCAAATCTCTTACCCATCTTTCTACCAGACTTTTTCTTGTCAACGTGTAGGAGTCTCAACATTCTGGCTACATGCACACTGTCCATTCTATGTAATGCAAATATATTCTGCTTCTCTTGGGGTTTGCTTTTTCACTCTGTAGTGTGTTTTGAATAGAATTTCTTGTGAGAATTTTTAAGATCTACTCTCTTAGAACTTTAAAATATGCAAATACAGTAGTATTAACTAGTCATCATGCTGCATATTATATCATCAGGACTTATTTATCTTATAACTGGAAGTTTGTACGTTTTGACCCCCGTCACCCATTTCTCTCACCCCCCACCTCTGGTAATCACCGATCTGTTATCTGTATCTATGAGCTTGTTTTTTTTTTTTTTTAGATTCCACATATAAATAAGATCATATAGTATTTGTTTTCTCTGTATGACTTATTTCACTTAGCATAATGCCCTCAAGGTCCATCCATGTTGTTACAAGATTTCCTTTGTTTTTATGGCTGAATAATATTTAATTATATATATATAATACATTTTCTCCATTCATCTATCAGTGGATGAAGCTTCAATTATTTCTATGTTTAGCTATTATAAATAATGCTATAACGAACATGGGGGTACAGATATCTTTTTGAGTTAGTGTTTTCATTTTCTTCGGATGAATGCACAGAAGTGCAAACGCTGGATCATGTGGTAGTTCTATTTTAAATTTTTTGAGGAACCTCCATACTCTTTTCCATAGTAGCTGCACCAATTTACATTCACCCCCACAGCACACTGAGGTTCCCTTTTAGTCATTTTATGATTTCTAATGCCATAGATTTGTTGTACTTGTTCTTGGGCTTTGTTTTCTTCTCAGAATATTGTTTTTGAGATAGATTCATGTTAAGTATGTCAGTAGTATGTTTCTTTTTATTACTTAGTATTCCACTGTATGAAAATATCATGATATATTGACCCATACAACTGTTGATGGGTATTTGGGTGATGTGTAGTTTTTGGTTTTTATGAATGAAACTGCTGTGAATATTCTTCTACAAGTCTTTCTGTGGACATATGTCTTCATTTCCTTTATTTAAATACCTAGGAATGAAGGTCGCTGGATCATAGGGTTAGATATAGTTTAACTTTATGAGGAATGATTTTCCAAGGTGGTTAAATCATTTTATATGCTACTTGTAGGAATATGAGTTCTAATTGTTCCACATCTTTGCCAACATTTTGTTTTGTAAACTTGTTTTTTGGGCAGGAGTGGAGTCATTCTGGTTGGTGTGAAATAGTGTCTCAATTTGTATTTTCCTGATGACTAATGATGTTGAACATTTTTTCATATACATGTGTATCTTTGGTGAGATGTTTGGCTAAGTCTTTGCCTATTTAAAATTTTATTTTCTTTCTGTTAATTGTGGTGGTTCTTTATATATTTTATGTTATTATTTTATTTTCAAAATATATTTTGTTTCTTTCCCAAATGTTTTTTGCAGAATTTCCAAGGTATTATTTTATTTTAAAAATATTTGTTGAGGTTAGTATAAAA